CATTATCAGATCGGACCACCTTCAATTTCTTGCCAGTCTCCCTTTCAACCATAGCATGGAATTCTTTAAATGATTGGAGTACCTGGTCTTTAGACTTCAACAAATATACCCACACTTTGCGGGAATGGTCATCAATAAATGAAACAAAGTACTGAGCTCCTCCAAGAGATTTCTCCGACATGGAGCAAACATCAGTATGGACGAGGTCAAGAATATTCCTTCGTCTTCTTGGTTGATCCGGTCTCACAAAAGAAACCCGGTGCTGCTTTCCAGCTAGGCAGTGCGTGCAACTCTCCAACGCTTGGCCTTTCAACCCGATCAATAATCCTTTCTTGTTCAGGATCTGTAGCCCTTTCTCGCTCATGTGGCCGAGGCGCTTGTGCCATAGCTCCAAGCTAGGTTCATCTCGAACAGAATTGGCTTCTCCGCCATTGATCTTTCCTTGCATCACGTACAAGGAGCCTTCCTTCTTACCTCGGGCCATGACCAAGTTTCCCTTGGCCAGCTTCCATCTAACACTACCAAAGTAGTTTACTAACCCTGCATCATCAAGCTTGCCTTCCGAGATTAGGTTCAAACGCATGTCAGGTACATGCCTCACATCCTTCAACACAAGTCGGCATCCGACATCTGTGGTCAGTGTTACATCGCCAACACCAACAATCTTGCTGGTCACCTGATTTCCCATCTTCACGACTCCAAAATCACCACCTCGGTAAGAGGAGAAAAAACCTTTGTGTGGAGTAACGTGGAAGGAGGCACCGGAGTCAACAATCCAGGTGCAGTCATCATATGCAACATTCAAATAATTATCCTCACCAAGGAGGAATATCTCGGCATCCGGGTTGGCAGCTACCGCAGCGGTGCTCTTGTCTTCCCTCTTCTTGGGAATAATCTGATCCGGCTTCACAGAGCCGTTCTTCTCATCATTTTGTAGGGTCCAGCAATCTGGCTTCTTATGGCCTGTCTTTCCACAGTAAAAGCACTTCAACTCATATTTCGGCTTTGACCGACCTCTGGACTTGTCTCGTCTGTCACGACCTCTACCCCGACTTTTGCTTCTACCCCGGGAGTCAGATTTCCCTTTGTTCTGAGCAATATTGGCCTCAGACGTACTCGAAGTACCTCGTTCTCTTCTCCTGGATTCTTCGCCCAGGAGGCTGTCTGTCACGACATCCATCTTCAATTTTCCATCTGGAGTCGAGTTATTCACGGTCACCACCAGAGTATCCCAGCTTTCTGGCAGTGAGCTCAACAGCAGCAATGCCTGCAATTCTTCATCAATTTTCATATCAGCCTTTGACAGCTGATTCTCAATACCTTTGTAGGTGTTCAGGTGTTCAATCATGCTCATGTCGTCCTTGTATTCAAGCTTAACAAGTCGGCGAACCAGGTGTGCTTTGTTCCTGGGAGTCTTCTTCTGAATCATGGACTCTAATTTCGTCCACAACTCATATGCGTTTGTGAATTCGGACACGTGTTCAAAGAGGCTTTTATCAATATATTTCCTGATCGTGGCTACCGCCTTCTGACTCAGGATCTCCCACTCCTTATCTGTCTTGCCTGCTGGTCTCTCATCAAGGATAATGGGCTCATGCAAATCTTTGCAGTAGAGATGATCTTCCATCATTGGTCTCCAATAAGTGAAATTGTCTGCGGTCAACTTGAACATATCTCCATCATGAGTTATGCCACTGGTCTCCATCTCGTCTCCCTCAGAACCCGTCGAACCCGGGCTCTGATACCACTGTTGGGAACTCGGTTCCCTCAAGCTCGGCTCAGGGGCCTTTTGCGGAAGTCAGCCAGCAAGATCCTGATCTCGGATCTCGGCAATACCTCGGCCTGAACTTCACCAGGTCGGGCAGCGCAGCGAAAAAATCAAAAACGAAAAACAGGAGGGAGAGAAGAAGAACACAACCAGTTTTAACGTGAGAAAACCTTCTTCAATGAAGAAGTAAAAACATACGGGACCTAGTCCAGATCAGAAATCCACTATGAAAATAATGGTTACAAATAATCAAATACACCAATGTGGTGGTTTACTCAACCTCTCCAACAATGGTGATAATCAAACTACCCTAGAGATGTTTCACTCAAACTCTCTCTAAAGATCTCTCAAATGCAAAGCATAAAGCTTTACTCAAACAATCAAACAATTTTTCTCTCAATTTTTTTTTTTTGACCTGACCTCCACCCACAACTAATGAGTATATATAGAGGAGGTGGAAATTAGGGTTAGAGTTTTTAGGAAACCCCTCAAATGGGCTTGAGCTTAGCATTGAAGGAGAAAGCCCAACAGCAGTTTCATGTGAAAGAGTCTTTCTTGAGACTTTAAATGGGTCTTGCCACACTCCTATTGCAGGGTATGCCTGCAGAAACAAGGATGGCAATTGCTTGTTCAGAGGATTAGTTGCTTCCCCTGATGGAACCCGTGGTATGAAAATCTTTACAATAGTTTTATTCAATTTGACTTCTGCTAGCTTAGTAGCTTCTACAGCTTCAAAAGTTACTTTTTTTTTTCTTTTTAAGAAGAATCCACAATATTTATTAGAAGAAAAAGTTACCATTCTTTAACCTTGCTTGTGTATGTTCAGTGCTTGAAACTTCCAGAATTGGTCCATATGCCATTCAAGATATGATGAAGATGGGTAGGGATGCTGGGGAAGAGCTTCAATCTCGAGCTGGACCTGACTTTTTCACTAGTTAGCAACCTGTATCAAAAGGGACAACTCCCAGGTTTGTTTATTCTTACAACCACGTAAAGACCAAAATGTTCATATGAGTTCGGAAAAGTGAACCACTCGTAGGGATCAAATTGTTGTATCTTGAGGTGTGATTGGAAAGCCAAATTTTTGTAATGTGTATTTTTCCCTGCAATAGTGAAGTTTTAGAACTCATGCTCAACACGGGCGTTTGGTTGACTCATTGTCTTGTCATTACTAGGAATCCGTTTGGTACAAGATTTAAGTGACTTACAAGTGTGTTACATGAATCTTTGCTACATGAATGCTTCATATATTGAAGTGATCATGCATTAATTGTTAACTGGTTTAATGGATATGATTATGTAAACGAAGGGTATATAAGATTCTTTTGCTCCAACAACATCTTGCTAACAGGTATCTCAGTACATTGGCTAAGAAATGTGTAATACTTTTTTTATTAATTGCTTCTATGTACTTGAAAAAGGAAATAATAAATATTTTTCAACTTCTAAAATACATTAGATATTTTAGCTTTTATTAATATTCTCTATATCGACTTTTATATTATATTATAATTATCTGAAAAAGAAAAAGAAAATAGAACAGGGTTTGCCACTAATTTATAAATAGAATTGTTCTGGATTCATGTGATGAATCCTATATAGGCTTTATTAGATATGGGCCTTATTCATTTTTGTTTTTTTTTGCAATAAAGCCTTATTCAATTTAGACTTTTGAGTCCTACTTCAATTCTTTCACTCTCATGTAATCTTGACATCTATGGCTCCCTGTGAAGTACTGACACTTGAAAGACCTTGACGTGTCGTGTCCGACACTTCTTGACACTCTCCGACACTCCAACACGCATTGTAGAAACTCAAAAAAAAGTTCAAAGGTTGCATTGCGTTGCATTTTTAGTTTCAACTAATAGATTCGTTAGATTACGATTATAATTTTATTGAGTTTAATATAAATATTTGGGATATCTTATGTTTCTTTGCAAAATTGATGGGTATTATAAGTTTAACTTCATTTTTTTTAATTATTGAATATTAAATATAATATACACTACATAAATAAAAATTATTATTTAATATCACAACGTGTCCTAACGTGTCGAAATCTAACAGTTTTTAGAATTAACGTGTCGGAGTGTCGTATCGTGTCATGTCACGTGTCCCGTGTCGGTATCGTTGCTACATAGATGGCTCCTCGACGAACCAGAGTCTGTACCATGTAATCTTGTTTTTTTTTTTTTTAGCGTTTTGCCCTCCCATCTAAAAAAAATAAAAAAAAATGTTAAACATCCCATTTTCAAAATTTTAGTCTCCTTTATTACTATTGTGCATACACCAACCCATTCACATTCTTATATTAATTACGATCCTCCTAAATGGAATAATAATAATCTTCTCCATATTAACAATTTACGTTTACCAGATTAAAAAAATTACGTTTAAGTATTAGTATATCTCTTGTTGCTGCAGATCAGAAAATTTGCAACAACACTTATTTTCACTAAGATCCGGTTCCGTATCTTGGAATTTTTTTTTTCTTAATTTCAGGATCCGGCTCCGTATCTTATGTAAATATATTTGCTGCAAGTTTTTTCATCAGCAGTGATAGCAGAAATGAGGAACCCTAGTATAATATAATCAATATAAATTCAACCAATAAATTACTAACATAATAAGACTCGTAAATTTAATATGCAAAACCGTTAGGTGTTATGTAAATCAAAAAATAATAATTATAATTTACAAGTTTCGATAGAAATTTAATCAATTTGTAAAAATAATTGTCATTGGATAAATTATTCTACTTGCCTTTTTTTTGTTTTTTTTTGTCTATTATTTTTCAATATTATTAAATCAGAATTTCATTATGATATGATCATGTTGGAAAATGAAATTCTAATATAATAATATCAGAGAATAATAAACAAAAATAAACAGAAAAACTAGGTAGAAGAATAACGCATTGCAAAAGAAAGAAATTAATAAATAAAACAAGGGATAAACTAATCTCATGTTAATGGGGATAGCTTCTCTTACGTGAGTGGCACAAAATTAAGGTAGGTCTCATTTTGATTTTTTTCCTTTTTTATTTTTTAGTGGGACCCATTAAGTTTATCTCACAACATAAGATATACTCTCTTATGTAACATGAGATTAGTTTATTCCATAAAACAAGTGCTATAAATATTGTATTTATTATTTTGTCGCAATAACTATATCTATATATATATATACATTGACACTTGGCATTTGACACTACTAGATTAGTCCATCTACATTCTGTTGTGATTCGAAGCTGAAATTTCGTCTTTGTTGGCTGTGTGAGCAAAATCCACATTCTTCTTCCTCGCACGGTAAGTGTCTCAAATCGTTATTGCTCATTCAATTGTTCTTCTATTGTGTTTTTTGCCTTTCGATTTCATTGTTTCCGACCCCCAAAAATCCAATTTTGAGTGGAATCCGCAATGGGAATTGCGTTGTTGTGGAATCTTCAAAACCTATGGCCCTTTTCGGCATTGAGAAGCGACGAACTGAGAGCTTCGAAGCAATTAGTGAACAAATTGAGGATACCAGAGCACACAAAGCAATTTGTTTTGGCAGTGCGTGACCCTGAAACCCAATCCCTAATTTACATACTCTCCGCTGTGAATTTATCTGAGCGATCAGCCTCTGATGCAGAGTGTCTCATTAGGGAGATTAGACCTGACGCTGTTGTTGTTCAGGCGGGTCTTTCTCCCTTCACGCAGATTCAGTCTGAAGAAGAAAACACTCGCTCTGATAAACCACTACCAACTTCTTCCTTTGGGGTAATCAAACGTTGTTTTGTTGATAAAATTGGTAGGGATATGTATGAGAGTGTTGCTGGAAACTTTGTGCTGAGGGAGATTTTTGGGACCAGTTTTCATGGCCACTTGTTGGCGGCCAAGAAGGCTGCTGAGGATGTAGGATCGTCGTTCCTTGTGATTGAGTCGCCTGTAGGGAACTCTGGTTGGGGTGGTAATAATAATAATAATAATAATGATAAGAATTCTGGTGGAGTTGATGCGGGAAGCGGTTTTCAAAGTCTTGTTAGTAGTTTGGTTCCTAGGCAGCAAGGTGCTTCTTTGGCCTCTATGACTTTGGAAAGGTTTTCTCTCAATAATGATGTCCGGGTGCTGCTGGGAAAAGCTTTATCTGGTTATATGGATCCCCTATTGCTTAGTAACACTAGTTCTGTTTCGGAGGGGGGTTCAGTGGAAATTCAGCCGGCAACTAGTTATGAGACCCCGGCTTTTGCCAAGTCTATCTATCCTTTACTTGAGGACTTGCATAGTATATTTAGTGATCTTCCCTCGATAGGGAAGGCGCTGGCACATTTGCAAAAGATGCTATTGGATGTAAACAGAGGTGAGGTTCTTGACACGAGAACTGTTTCTGAGGTCTATACTTTCCGAATTGCTGTTGAGGGGCTTAGAATAGCTCTAAATAATAGGGGGTTACAACCAATTGACAGGAAAGGCATTCCCAAGTCAGATAAGATTGAGTTCTCAGAGCTTCCGGTTGAAGACAAGTCACACGTGCTCTTTGCACAGGCCATCCAGAGTCAGACTGATAAGTTTAAGACCATTGTGGCAGTCGTAGATGCCGGTGCCTTGGCAGGTCTTAGGAAACACTGGGATACTCCTCTTTCTGGTGAAGTCAAAGAGCTGGTTGGACAACTAATCACAAATTCTGAAGGTAAAAGGGTTGTTTTAAATCATAGTGACAGGAAGCGGTTGTTAACAGATAAACCTGTGGTGGCAGTAGGGGCTGGAGCTACTGCAGTTTTAGGAGCTTCATCCTTGACCAAAGTAGTCCCTGCATCAACGCTGATGAAGGCTGTTACTTTCAAAATTCCAGCTTCACTAAAAATTGTTCTCAGCCAGATGCAGAGAACACTGGCTTTTGCTGTTGGCCCATCTAAAGTTGTGGGTCCAGGGTTTGCAACTTCAGGAGCCAAAACGTCTGGTGTCCTGAAGGCAGCTGTATCTGCTGAAAAGATTCGAGCCGTTGCTCACAGTGTTATAGCCTCTGCTGAAAAAACCAGTATTTCAGCTATGAGAACAGCATTCTATGAAATAATGAGGAAGCGAAAGGTGCAACCTGTTGGGTTCTTGCCTTGGGCTACCTTTGCAGGAAGTGTTGGAACTTGCACGGGCTTGCTTTTGTATGGTGATGGGATTGAGTGTGCTGTTGAATCTCTCCCTGCAGCCCGCTCAATTGCTAGTTTGGGTCGTGGGATTCAAAATCTACATGAGGCATCTCAAGTAGTGATGCAAACAGAAGGAACTAGAATCCAAACAGCAATAGAATCTCTAGTAAACAGAATAAAGAAGGCAAGGGATCGATAGAGAAAGAGTGTAATTCTTTTTGCTGTACAGTTGTCATTTTATTCATAAAGTGATGAAAACCTGATTGGTAAGAATTCAAGAAATATTTCTGTACATATATTTCTGTTACAGAATGTTCTTATTTTATGGTGACCAACCTTATATTACTATGAAGCGTAGATATACATTTTTAACAATTATAGTGGACATGATTACAGAAACAAATTTTTTTTTTCTTTTCCTAGCCATTATGCTATCGGTTTCAATCACAACAATTTATCCTTCCATTCTTTGGTGCATGGACAAAAGAAACTTTCTTAGCATCTTTGTTTCATGTTAACCCTTGAAGCAGACCTTATCTGATTCGCTGATATACATATTGTCAAGAATCAAGAAAACCTGCATCTTTTAAGGAGTAAATATGATAATATGATGATCATCCAATGAATAAGTTAGTGAGCCTCCCGCACCCGCACATAAAAAGAAGATTATTTTTGCAGCTATTTTGCTAGAACCAGAAATCTGAGGCCTTTTAATATGTTAGAATATTATTTGAATTAATTTTGTGATCATTGATGATCCAAGCTAATAGAATTGTTTCTTTACATCTAGTGATCCTGAAATTAAATTTTCTTACTTGTCTGAATTTATCAAGGATCATTTTAATTCTTACTATTTGTTGAGGAATTTATACCAGGAAGCATGTAATTCAACAGAGAATCTTACTCCTACTGACAGAAATTCAATTCAAATTTCATGATTTATTGATCTTCTATTTAATGTTAAGAGAGTCAAAAACTCTTGAGAGGTTAATAGTTTTTGACATCTTTTCTGATTGGAAACTAGAATAGCACTAAATATAATACTGTTAATTAGCATTTGGCAAAATACTAATTCCCCTTATTCCTATAGTTTATATGTTGGAGAAAACATATGCATGTGCTCTCCTCCTTTCCTTTTGGTGAGACTCTAGTGTACAATCTCGAATTTAATACCTGGTATCTTGATTATCTGGATATTGAGTTAGTTATTAAAGTTGCAAGTATGTGGAATTTCAGTTTCTTTTCTCTTGTTTGAGGAAGTGGAAGAGAAATTGGGATATACTCGAATTTCGTCATGTTCCTCGCAAATTTGTTTTTCATCTCATAAGCTAATTCATTACTGCTTTGTTCTTCAAAATGGTGGAAAGGGGACACTAAATTTAGGATGACTCTTGTTCCCATAGAAGCTTTTTTCTCAGGTGTCTCATGCTCAATTTAAAACAACATTCTCTTATAAGGCAATGTATCTGTGAAGATGTGGTACCCGTTGTGTACTGTAGCCTTTCCTAATATAGTAATATGTTACCTGCTTTTGTGCTTGGGTTGAAAAAGCATTATGTGATACAATTTAAAGTGGAACATACCAATTATTTTCTTGATGCTTTGCTGCTGAAGATCTGAGATGAGTGTGTTCTTCTCTCTCCTCCAAAGTCTGAATACCTATTTTTTGCTATTATGGGAAATAATGAAATTGGCCAGGATACTATATTCCTTGAATAGTATGCATATGATGTTAAGATTGTGTCAAATTTTATTCTGTTGGTCTTATGGATGGTACCCTTGATTGGGTTAACTGTCTGTGCTTTGATCTACATGCTTTCAAAATTTGTTTCATTTTTAGTTTGTTATGCCCTAGAGCCTTAGTTTCATTGTCACTAAATCTATTTTAATGACTAATTTTGGGTTTAGATCTCATTGAGTTTGCTTTTCCGCAATTTATAAGGCCTACCTTTCTCTTCCTCAAACCAGGTCTCACAAGACCATGGTAGTTAAAATCTAGATTTAAATCTTAAAATTCCGATCTTAACGATTTATTTTTGCTAAAACAATTTAGATTTCACTTAAAATTGTTTCCAATATAAAATCCCGATTTAAACATTTACTTAAGTCCCGGTTTTAACTATTGGAATGATGTTAAGCAAGTTAGAAAAATTGTTGAATATAACATTGCTGATGTTTCATCCGAAGATGAATGGATTGTGGAAAATGAAGGAACTTCATCTTATGATGAAAGTTTAGATGAAGACAATTTTGAATGATGTAGTTGAAGATCACGTGGAACAAAATGTCTTCGATGATAATAACTTGAATGATTTATTAGCTTAGACCCTTAGAGTGTGACAATTGTATGCAAATGTATAAGGATGGTGACAAGTAGTCTATTTTTTTATTTTTATTTTTATACATAAGCATATGTATATAAAAATTTAATTTTAGAGTGCAGGTAAAATCTATAATTTGTATTACGATTTACGATTTTTTATTCCCTTTCCGATTTTAGGTAAAATCCCGATTTTGACTACCTTGCACAAGACAATCTTAGTTAAGCTAATGTTTACTTATTATATAAGGGAAAAATATTTCTCAAGCTGCTTGAGATAAATTTATAGACAATCTTAGTTAAGCTAATGTTTACTTATTATATAAGGGAAAAACATTTCTCAAGCTGCTTGAGATAAATTTATCTCCGGCTATCTCAAAACTACGTCGTTTTGATTATTTATTTCCTTATATGTATTGATTCACCCTTGAATGGTTATGATTCCGCTTTTCTCTCTCTTCCTTTATCACCATTGATCCATCTTTGTACGGTTATGATTTAGTAGCCGGAGATAACTTTATCTCCGGCAGCTTGAGAAATGATAAGCCCATTATATAATGCATATATTATTGGGGAGGATTATATTTACAAACTTTTTGTTTATAAACTACACTATGTACTCTTGGAATTATATTAGGTTACACTATGTATTTCCGGAAGTACATAATAGTATAATTTGCAAAAATTTGTAAAAGGATCCTTCTTTTATATTGTTTACATAAAGGGAAATACTACTCTCATTTTACATGAGGTAGTTATCTCATTTTCTCTCACATCGAAAATCGCACCTCTTCTTTTTTCTTTTTCTTTTTTACTTTTTAATGGTGGACCCCACTTAAACTCTCTCTATAGCATGAGATAATACTCTCATGTAATATAAGATTAATATTCCCCTTACATAAATTATGAAAATGCATGCTGAACATTTAAGGTTTGTTTGATTCTTTTAAAAATAAAAGTTGGACTTTCGTTTGATTGATAAAATGGTATAATTAGTCTACCAAAAAAAAAGGTATAATTATTGAACAAAAATAAATCAAGCGATACCATAAATTCTTAAAAATTTGTGAATCAATCATTTGTATTACCCAGTTATATAACTTATCGAGAGGAAAAGATTAATAATTTCTACCTTTTCATTTTCCCAACTTTATTATGGGAATAAAAACTACACATACAAAATTTTATAATAAATTTAAAATTTGTATTATTTTATCTATAGATATCCGTCAAATAACTAATAACATGAAAAAGTGTTATGTGAATCAATCATTTGTACCACACTATTTTATTCTATTTATATTATCTCTTAGTATACATTAAATATAATCTCATCGATTGTCGCTTTTTTTTGTGTATGCATGCGTGTGTATATATATATATATATATACACGAAAGATTCAAAATTCAGTCATTGGACTGTCCAGTGAGTGTATTGTGATTATATTCTCCCGCGAGAATATAGTGCAAAAATATTACAATGATATTCTTCAGATGTTCTCCCGGGAGAACATAGTTATAATATTTTTTGCACTATATTCTCGCGGGAAAATACAGTGCACTGGACCAAAATTACACCCAGTCACTTGATACTCACTAAGTCCATATATATATATATATATGGGTCATGATCATTTTATACCAGTGTAAGTTACACTCTTAATCTTGTCCTTTGATCCCATTTATATCTAAGGGCTCTAATTTTTTAGTAATATGAGCCATTTGATACAAGTGGATCAATGGTCAAGATTAAGTGTAAGACTTCTAACTCTTACACCGGTGTAAGAATATCTTGCCCCTATATATATATACATATATATATATATATATATAGAGGTAGGATCCTTTGACACCAGTGTCAAATTTCAAATTTGACACCTTATCTGAGAGCCATTAGATCAAAAGAATCAATGGTGTCACATGCTTACAAATCAGAGCCCTTGATTTTTTGATCTAATGACTCTCAGATGAGGTGTCAAATTTGAAATTTGACACTGGTGTCAAAGGATTCTACCTCATATATATATATATATATATATATATATATATATATATATATATATATAAGTTTATATTATATTAATAAACTTTAGGAAAATAATATTGATGGCTGTACGTGACATATTAACAACGAGATAGTATGAACATAGGCATGCTAGTGCTATATAAACTTGTACAGACGTTTTAAAATGTTATTATTAGTAAATATCTATTCATGCATTCATCAACAATATTGTTATCTTAAATTAATTGGAGTCGGTGATAGATGAACTCAAAAAAAAAAGTTATGAAAAGATTGAGAAAAATGATTATATATATATATATATATATATATATATATATATATATAAAAGGTTTGATGTTTGTCATTTTAAGTGAGAGAATGACATAAGTAATGAAAATTATGGGGGGGAAGTGATAATTTTTTTAAAATTTAAAATTTAAATAATAAAATATTAATTTGTATCTTTCTCTATCTTAAAATGACACAATTCAATATTATAAAAAATGAAAAACATTTTTTCATATATATATATATATATATAATGGCTTTTTGACCCTTTTGCCCCTCATTAATTAATTAATAACCAATTTGCCCCTGATCAAGAACTATCCACCAACCTGCCCTCTTTTAGTCGACTACCTTGCTGTTTTAGTCGAGCAAATGGTCAATCTTCAGAAAGTGGACTACTGCAAATTTAGTCGACTAAAAAATCATCTTAATCGACTACATTTTTGGGATATTTAGTCGACTAAGTATCGATATTTAGTCGACTAAATATCGACGGATTTGTTTTTTAAAACCCCCCATTCGGCAGAGGGGGAGTAGGATGACCTAATCGACTAAGGAGGCGGCCCAAACCCCAAATCCGCAGGAGCAGCTGGAGAACGCCCCAAACCCTTCCCTTAGGCGTGTGGATTGCCCCCAAATTTGGTCCAAATCGTGAAATCTGAAGGATAGGTAAGGTTTCTTAACTTGCATTGTGTTTTAGGTTTAGGAATTTTTTGTATTTGTTTGTTGTCCGAATTTGTGAACTCTAATCAAAGCGTTTGTTGTAGGTTTTGTAACCCTAATCTACTAAGGTTTATTTTTTTGCATTGTGTGAATTTTTTTGTTTGAAAAGTTTGTATGCGGCAAAAATTTGCTTTTGGTTTACAGCGCTTATGTTGCAAGTTTTCATTACCATCATGACATGTTTCATATAGTTAAATGCTGACATGTTTCATTGTAGGTACCCTAAACAAATGACGAGCCGCAGAAGACCAAGCGATGAGGGCAATGAGTCACTTGAGAGACGCACCAAGCATAGGCAAGAGCGGCCTTCTTCGTCAAGGCGACAAGACGAAGAGCCTGATACTGTTGACCTCCCGTATGGGTATCTGTTTGAGGACGACCCTGCCGTCCATGCTTCATTCGTACGTGACCATTTGAACCGGCCGTTATGTGCTCCAAAATCTTTGGATACAGCCTTTTTTGATAAGGAGGGATTTGAAATTGTGGGGGTGTTGGAGGCGACACATCTGAGGGTGTTGGCTGAGACCCTATGTCCGTATTCAGAGCTTATGGTGCGGGCCTTCTACCATAACCTCAGCTACGTACAGGGCGAGCTGAGGTCGAGGGTCTATGGAATAGAGATCATCATGACGGCACCTGCATGGTTGGAGATACTCGGCTATGATTTTGACTCTTCTCATACTGTGGTGTATGACGCTGATAGTGGTGTAGTACTTCCAGGATATGTACGAGAGGATGCCGTGCAGGAGCAGAGAAGAGTCTGTGGGGAACACTTGCACTATACGGTGGGGTTGCTTTCTGTGGAGTCCCGTATACTACACTATGTCCTCACCCACGTTCTGTTTCCGCGATCTTTTAATCATTCCAGGGTGTTGGAACATGACATTCCCATTATGTGGGCTATCCGACATGCCCAGATGGTGAGCTTGTGTCAGCGTCGAAATCACCCTCTACGTCAGTATCTGACGTGTCACCTAGTGGAATAACACTCTCAGGTTCACCGTCCTCATCGCTGTCCATATCGGCATCCTGTTCATCCTCATCTATTTCCCGCAGTGTTATCTGACTTATGACATGTGCAGGTGCAGATAAATTGACTACTCTTTCTTCATGACCAAAATACGGTTCACTTCTTGTATGCATGGGTGCAGATGAAGATTGACCACAATCTAATTCAACATATATCTCAATAAAATTTTGAAATTTTCGGTCAACAATTGCATCTATGACACATTCGACATCTTCATCATCACATATATCGTTACCAATGTAGTAAATAGCATCCTTACCAACTGTTGTCTCTACCCTGGCAATCATCCGTTGAACGCATTGGCTGCCTTGCAAACCCAATTTTTGCTGAATTCTCTCCTTTAACTCATTGTATGTAGTGCCCCGTTTGATTTTCAACATTTTCGTTTTTCCTTCAAATTGAACACCATTGGGGCCTTCATAATGCTTCCATCATAGTAGATCATTGTCACATACATGTTTGGACTTGTGCTCATCTTCCTCACGAAATTGGGACTTGGGTTCTGAAATTGGGGGTTTGGGTTCGGATTTTGGGGTTTGGAATTGGGCAATGACAATGATTTCACAATATTAGGTCTGTAGAGATGGTGGGATGAAATACAATCGGATTGAGAGGATTACACATGAACAAAGGGAGCTATTTAGGTTTACACAACAACAACAATCGAAATGAGACCGAAAACATGGAAAATATAGGGTTTCAGTCGACATTTAGTCGACTAAATATCGATACTTAGTCGACTAAATATCCCAAAAATGTAGTCGATTAAGATGATTTTTTAGTCGACTAAATTTGCGGTAGTCCACTTTCTGAAGATTGACCATTTGCTCGACTAAAACAGCAAGGTAGTCGACTAAAAGGGGGCAGGTTGGTGGATAGTTCTTGATCAGGGGCAAATTGGTTATTAATTAATTAATGAGGGGCAAAAGGGTCAAAAAGCCTATATATAATAGTATCCATAAAAAGTAGTACACATTGCAAGGAAAAATAAAATACAAATAAGGATATATAAGAGGACGTAAAAAAAAATAAGAATAAGAAGGTAAGAAATAAAAAAAAAAATATAGGGAAAAAAAAGAGAGAACACAAATAAATAGATAAAAGAAAAAAGGTTAAAAGGAAAAATGAAATAGAAAAAAGAAGGAAAAAGAAAAGGGGGAATATAAAGAGGAAAATGATTAAAATTGGAATGAAAAACACAAATAAAAATAGATCTTACCCTCCACTATGCTTGTAGCTTTTTTACGCTCTGTCCTAAGACATATGGTCCGTCAATCTATATCTCACTCCATTAAATCTTATTTTACTATCTTTCTCCAAATAAGTTTCAGTCTATGTCTTCCTCTTTTTATGTCAAGATTTCGGTAACAAATTTTTGTTCTTACGGAAGCATCCAGGGCCTTCTCATTATGTGCCTAAATCACCTCAATCTATATTCTCTCATCTTTTTCGCTATCGGTACTATTCGCATCTTTTGTCGAATATCTTCATTTCTTATTTTATCCATTCTCGTATAACCACACATCCACCTTAACATCCTCGTTTCTACCACTCACGTTATATGTTCATATTACCTATATCTTAGTCAATATTCAGCTCTATATAACTTAGGAGGCCTTATTGCTATGCTATAAAATTTTCTTTATAATATAAGAGAAATTTTGTGATCACAATAAAATCTAAATCCACTATTCTCTTTCATCCACCTTATTCTAATTATACTATTTATATGCTCATAAATCACTTCACTTTTTCCAAAACTGATTCGAGATATCTTAAAAGGATTGTTGTTGCAAATCCACGTAGATTCCACTGAGCGAAAGAATCAGGGACTTGTTTAGAAAGAAAACAACTAATTTAAGTAAGGAACTCTCATATAATCCTGCTTTTGGTGAAATATAAGTTAATTGTTTTTGGCAAGTTGATTGGGTTCTCACATAGAAAAGGTGCTTCTGTTGTGACTGATATCAGCAGCCTCATATCAAGAAGTCTATATAATGAATAATCAGCACATTTTCTTCTCGTGTAAGGAAAATGAGGCCCTATGATAATCTCAAATTCCTTAAATATTATAAAAGCTCACTTGAATATATGAACAATTTTCTTAGCCCAAACTTATATTTGTTAGCCGAAACAATTGCATATGTGATAATAATATATAGGATTTGTATTTGTCATTTAACATGACACAACAAACTTTCTTATACACACAACATTTTGTAGAGCGCACACTTTTTGAAGAAAAAAGAAAAAGAAAAAGAAAAAATTATGGCACGCAAAACAAATCTCTATAACATTACACAATCACTTTTCCTACAACATAACTCTTATAAAACCATAATATATTATTTACCTATACAACTGTTCACGGCCACTTAGACTTAATTATTCAAAATCAAATTTATAGTGAACTATGATATAATAGCCCTAACTTAATTAATTAGCAAATTACATGTAATTAAATAATTAAGCATGTTTTAGTGAGTAAAATTAAGTATAAGGCTTAATTAAATGAATTTGAGTCACTTTAGAGTTAAAAAGTGTACTTAGTGAAAATTAAGGAGTATAAATGGGTGTCAGAAAAAGTACCCAAAATATAAAATAAAAGCGGAAATATTCCTAGAATAATAATCCAGACTTTTGGGTAAAGTTTGGTAATTAATGGAGTTGAGTAAATAGACGAACCAATACCCGCTTAAAGTCACTTAACATAAGTTAAGTGACCAAAGCTACTAAAAGAGCCCCATTTTCCCCAATCCCCCGTCGAGCCAGAAAGAAAAGAAGGAGAAAGAAGAAGAAGGAGAAAGGAGGGAGAAGGAAGGGAGGAAGAGAGAGAGAGATAGCTATTCTCAACCGATTGGAGCGATTCAAAAGCCTAAATCGCTTAGAATCTCGTCCTCATCATTAATCCAAGCTTGGTTCTTAGTGGGGAGCTTTGTGTGGTGAGATATTGCCCCTCAAAGTTTCGCCCCTTTGTGAAATTTTGGGGTTTTGAGTGCTTCAACCTCCATTGAAGATTGAGGAGTCATCAATCCTTGGTTGTGTGATCATTAGTGGTAAGACTCTAACCCTTGAACCTTGCTTTCTTGGAAATTTCATGATTTAGGGTTTTCATAAATAGTGTTTTAGGGTTTTGTGAGAATTTGAGTAAATTGGCTATGTTGTGGTAGAATTGAGACTTAGCACATGTTGAGAAAAATGCTAGGAATGTCATTTAATAGGTAAAAATGAGCCTGGTTAGTTAAATGACTATACTTGGTATATTGCAAGATTCTCATGCTTGTTGATGAGTATTCTCGCAATGTTGAGTTATGGTGTGGTTGATTGGTTATTGATTGTGCCTATATGGTAGTTAGGATTGAGGCAATCGGACCAACCGTGATAGAGCAACCATTGGAGCAAGGAATGGAGTTGGATTAGCTCCTTGAACTAGGTAAGTTCATACCTTGTGGTTGATGAGTTGTATAAGTAGTTGATAGTAATGAAGTATTATTGATGCAATGTGTTGAATTGCATTACATCGTGTGTAGGTGTTAATAATTGAAGTAGATACTTGTTGAGATTGGTGAAAGAACAAAGGTTAATTGGAAGCTTGAGGTAAGCCTTCGGACCTTGGGTGTAATTCCCTTAATTGTTCCACCAAGCCCTGAAAGGGTAGTGGTGATTATAGTGTATATAAATGCAATGAAATAGTGTAATGCTTTGTTATACGTATGTATATGCATTTGGTGTGGCATAGGATGGTGTTTCCCTATGTGGTATATTGCATGACAATGCGTAAATCATACTTGGTAGCTTAGCTGGCCAGTAAGACTATTTGCATCTGAGTTTCCTTAGGACAGCTTGAGAGCTCGAGGAATTTCTCCTGGAGATGTATTGCACTTTGCATAGATATGTATTTACTGCATTATTATTGTTATTGCTATTACACTGATATGGAACTGTGGGGTGGAGAGATGCTCTAAGGACCCCTGGTTTACTGGATATATTCGTATATCTCACCCCGTGTTGTGGGGACCCCCTTTCAGGTAAGGATGCTGCAGGAGCCACCAGTGGCAAGTGGCCATACTTGGACTAGTAGTGATGCATGAGGATCCTATATTTTGATATTATACATGTTGTTTTGTAGCTCACATGTATAGGATTGTAATTAATAGACAATTGATAGATGTATGTTCTGTTTATTTGGAATGGACTTAGCCTATGCTCATGCTTTTGGTTATCTCTTTGTTGATGGGAGCCAAGGGAGTGATCATAGTGTTTTGTAAGCTAAGTTCCATGAATTGTAATGAACATGATTTGTAATTGATGATTACCTTAAGCTCATTATATGCATGCCCATTATGTATTGGATTGTTGAGCTGGAAAACTTGATTATTTACCTATTGCTAAATTTGGGAATGTTGAGAAAACAAAGGTTATGCTGCCCAAATTTTAGTATAATCCATGAGGAGAGGTTTGATCCATTGAGGCTTGCCATGGGGATGCCCTTTCCCTAATTGTGGACTTGAGAAATGAGAGAGGGAGAATTCCCTGGCAGCGCGCTCGAGCGCCCTGCTGCCCCTGTGAGAGCTAATGATCTCTGCCTCCTCGCGCTGGAGCGCCCAAAGTGGGGGCTTAAGCGCCCAGGATTGCGCGCTTGAGCGCCCTGGGTTGCGCTTAAGCGCCCTTCGCTGCGAAAAGATGGGATGCTTACTGTCTCCGCGGGCTTTAGCGCCCAGAGTGGGGGCTGAAGCGCCCAGGGTTGTGCGCTTGAGCGCCCAAAGTGGGGGCTGAAGCGCCCAGGATTGCGCGCTTGAGCGCCCTGGGTTGCGCTTAAGCGCCCTTCGCTGCGAAAAGATGGGATGCTTACTGTCTTCGCGGGCTTTAGCGCCCAGAGTGGGGGCTTAAGCGCCCAGGGTTGTGCGCTTGAGTGCCCTGGTTCGCGCTTGAGCGCCCTTAGCCACTGAAGGAGGAGATGTTTCTATCTCTGCGCGCTAAAACGTCCCAAATGGGGGCTTAAACGCCCAGGATATCGCGCTTGAGCGCCCTGGTGCGCGCTTAAGCGCCCATTTACACTGAAAGACCTGATGCTCTCTGCCTCCGTGCGCTTAATTGCCCAGATGGAGGCTTTAGCGCCCGATAACGCGCGCTTGAGCGCCCGGTAGCGCGCTGAAGCGCGCGGGGCCTGTGTTCAATACCCTCTTGTGTTGCTTCAAATTGTCATAACTTGGGCTACAGTGCTCCAAACGAGGTGCGGTTCGAAGCCACACGTAGCTAATGAATAGAAAAAGACATTTAATAATCTTTGGTCTAAGGATATAAGAGTATGATGTTAAGCTTAATTCATTTTATTCCGCAATGTAGTATGGTTATGATCACGCAATTGGGCATTATAATTCAGCATGTTTTAAAATGAAAAATTTAACCGGATTTTAATTGGACCCATGTGATTGTAACTGCGCGTAATATCATAATGCGATGTTAACAAACGGTTCTAGAACGGGGTGTTATATGATGTAATGGTCACTTGTGAGTATAGAATTAGTGTGAGCAGAATTAACTTTTACTATCAGCAAAATCAAACACATAAAACACATCTGTAAATGCCACCGTAGGCCACACACTTCTAAATGATGTTTTCTTTCATGTCCTTTTCATCTGCAAATGGCTTCAAAGACTCTTCTAGTGTACGTACAACCTCGAATTTAATACCTGGGATCTTGATTCTCTGGATATTTAGTTAGTTATAATAATGTTGTAAGTATATATATATATGTGGAATTTCAGTTTCTTTTCTCTTGTTTGAGGAAGTGGAAGAGAAATTGGGATATACTCGAATTTCGTCATGTTCCTTGCAAATTTGTTTTTCATCTCATAAGCTAATTCATTACTGCTTTGTTCTTCAAAATGGTGTATTAGATATTAGGTATAAGGGTAGTTTAGTATTTTAATGATATTCTAGATCTTTTTCTTTTCTGTTATGCTCTTCTATATAATAGCTCATTGATTGTACAAATTAATTACCACAATCAATTTTTTCTCTTTTACCTTCTAATATGGTGGAAAGGGGACACTAAATTTAGAATGACTCTTGTTCCCATAGAAGCTTTTTTCTCAGTTGTCTCATGCTCAATTTAAAACAACATTCTCTTATAAGGCAATGTATTTGTGGAGAATATGTCAAAGAATATTTTTAGTACTCCCATCACACACTGAATAGTGAGTACTATTCCAATTCAAAATAAAATTATAGATTATTTATTACAAAAAATACATAGGCATAATATTAGAGTTTTTTCTTCTTCTTTTTATTCAAAAAATTATATAAACTCAAATGTTATTTTTTTATTGGTCGGATATAGATATTATGGAGTAATTAAATATTTCGAAAGATGTGGTACCTGTTGAGTACTGTTGCCTTTCCTAGTACGTGGCCTGCTTTTCTGCTTGGGTTGGAAAAGCATTATGTGATACAATTTAAAGTAGAACATACCAATTATTTTCTTGATGCTTTGCTGCTGAAGATCTGAGATGAGTGTGTTCTTCTCTCTCCTCCAAAGTCTGAATACCTACTTTTGGCTATTATCGGAAAGAATGAAATTGGCCAGGATACTAAATTCCTTAAGTAGCATGCATATGATCTTAAGATTGTGTCAAATTTTATTCAGTTGGTTTTATGGATGGTAAGTAATTGTAGTACTAAAGTGGGTATCGTGAAATTTGTTGAGGACCAAAAATGATATTTACTCTTATTTTATCTATGGATATCACAAATTTTTTGAATCCGTCAAATGACTAACAACATGAAAAATTGTTACGTGAATCAATCATTTATACGATACTATTCTATTTGTAGCCTTTTTTGTGTATGCATGTTTGCGTATGTGTAGCGTGGGTATATATGTAATATTGTAATGTAAGTTTATTTATATTAATAAACTTTAGGGAAAATAATATTGATGGCTGTACTTGACATATTAACAACGAGATAGTATGAACATAGGCATGCTACATGCTAGTGCTATAAAAACTTGTACAGACGTTTTAAAATGTTATTATTAGCAAACATCTATTCATGCCCTCGACAGACATTTTAAAATGTTATTAGGGTTTATGCATTTAGCGTATAATATTATATTTTTTTAGCAGTTATAATTATATACTTTGATAAATATATAATTATAATATTAAAATTATTCTTTTTCATTTTACATATCAACTAATAACTTTTGAAGAAAAAATAATAATTTTAACTGAAAAATATTTTTTACAGTTACTGCAGATAAGTTATCTGCATTTATTCTTAAAACGACATCGTTTTGGAATTGAAATATTAAAAAATTAATTATAAAGACTATAATAATCTTAAAATAAATTAAAATTAAAAAAATATTTCTAACCCAAAACGACATCATATCAAAATTAATGCATATAATTTATATGCAATAACTCTTAAAAAAGCTAACACTAATTTTAATATTATAATTATATGCTTTCTAAATATATAATTATAACTTCTAAACAACGTAATCCTTTGAAATAGTATTCCTTTTTCCCATGTTATTATTAGGAAACATCTATTCATGCATTCAATATAATTAATAATCTACAGAAAGCTATAAAGGAGTGATGGTTGCCAATCCACCTGGCCCGCCTATAGATTCCACTGTGCGAAAGAATCAAGGGACTTGTCCAGAAAGAAAACAAATAATTTAAGTGAGAAAATCTCTTATAACCCTGCTTTTGGTGAAATATAAATCATTTGCTTTTGGCAAGTTAATTAGGTACTCACATATAAAAGGTGTTTCTGATGTGACTGAGATCAGCAGCCTCATATCAAGAAGCCTACGATGAAATAATCAACACAATTTTCTTCTTGTGTAAGGAAAATGGAGCCCTGTGATGATCTCAAATTCCTTACACAAGCTCACTTGAAAATATGAACAATTTTATTAGCCCAAACTTGTATTTGTAAACTGTAGAATTGTAGCAGCAATTGCATATGCGATAATAATATAATTACCTATACAACAGGCCACTTAATTTTTCAAAGAGACATGATATTATGTTTATTTTTTTCATGTCTACTATGTCTATTCATTTTTAACATTATTGGATCAAATCTTTAAAAAAAAGAAAAAGAATGAAAGTTAGTTAAAATTATGATATAACAATATTAGAGATTAGTATATAAGATAGGTACGAAAAGAAGATAAATAGAACTTTTTTTTTTTTTAATCAAATTTATAGTGAGCTATGATGTAATGGTCACTTGTGAGCATTAGAATTAGTGAAAGCAGAATTAACTTCTACTATGAGTAAAATCATCAACACATAATGCAATGTGTAAATGCCATAGTAGGCCACACACTTCTAAATGATAGTGTCTTTCAAGTCCTTTTCATCTGCGAATGGTTTCAAAAGAAAAATAAATGACATCTACCTCTCGCTTTCACAAACCCGTTTGATACGAAACTTGAAAGATTTTCTATTCATTGAGTGGTCAAAACATACAATATCATAGCCATTGGTTGGTAAAGTCTACGATGATCCAACAAAAGTAATCACATATCATAATATTCAGGAGTAGTTGCAGCATCATGACTAGGTAGTGGAATCTATTCCTAGTCATCAAAGTCAGCAGGAATCTTAAATAACATTTCTTTACAAAAGCAAAGCAACAATTCTTCAAAATCTTGTACCTAAATATCTATAAAATGAAAATAAAAAAAAATAAAATAAAGGGCAGGGTGTAATCTGAATTTGGTCAGATAAAGCAGCTATCTTCCAACCTTAGTCATCTTAGAATTTCGTGAGGACTCACCATATTATGTAGACATAAAGTAACACGGTAGTTAAACTGCTTCATGAGAGATGTTATTTTATTTTTATCAAATATTTACCTTCAATTAGTTGACGAAAACAGAAGCTATCCACTGCTAATTGTTGAGGTAGTTATAATCTGAGAAACCTGTATCTATTGCAACTACCTGAGTGTCCCTATGGTGTCCCACAAACCTACCCTTCTCTTGAAATAATGATTTTTCCTTAGAGGCCATGACAAAACAACTTTTTCAATAACCATGAGTTCTTTGAGCAGATGATCGCAGCCTTTATATCCATGGCCCATATGTGGTACCTCATATGGTACAAACCAACCAAGGTTGTCCTTAGAGCAACCTACAAATCCTAAATTTTTGGAGTTTCTGTTTTATCTGGTTCTCTTTTCCCTTTTTATCAGGCTTCCCATGCCACCATGTCAGTGTTCCATTTGATATATGGCATCTGGGTACTCTTGTATGTGAGTTCCTGTACTCTTGTGGCTAGTCCTTCATGCTGTCCATATCAGTTTTTTCAACAAAGCAATCGAAGATTTGAGCAGAAAACTGATAGGTTTTGGAAGTTCAGTGAACAAGCTGATAGATGGGTTGAAGTACAACTGCCTTGTGATTTGGTAGGGTGTAGTAAAGTGAACACAAGAGAAGAAAGCTTGGATCAAGAACATGAATTTGATGACAAAAAGACGAGTCTTGATAATAAGGATGGTGAATTGGGAGTAGAGGAGCCCTTTGATGTTGTTCTGCCTCTGAGAAAGAGAATTTCCTTGACCAAAATGTCTGATACATCTATCTGGGTCACTGGTGAAAGTGGGTCTATTTATGAGAGGTTTTGGAATGGACTAGAATGGGTGATTGCCCCTCATGACTTACCAATATCATCAGGACGTGCAATTGCAGTTTTTATCATCAATCAGAGAATTATTGCTCTATCTGAAGCAGGAAATCTGTATCAGGTTACAATCAACAGTTCTCTAAATTCCATTTCATTGACAATATCAACTCTTCTTTTCATATACATCTTGCAGAATACATGCATATAGCTTGGCAAGTTGGCATGTAATTTAAATCACAGTTACTAATAAGATTTGATTCTGCAATTGGATCAGTTAAATGTAATCCCCCATAAAAAAAAAATTAGTATTCTGCAAGTTGTTGGAACTGTGACAATATCTTTGTTTTTGCTTAGCAGATGCATTTGCAACTTGGTGAAACCTCACAATCAGTTTGGGTTGAATTTACTCCTACACTCAATCAAATCACAGATAATGATTCAGAGAAAAATCCTTTGATATTAATAAAGTCTGGCGTGGTGGCAGATGATAGGCAGTGAGTACACATAAAATTTTTAGCTTCTAAGATTAAACATATATAATACAAGGATATATTTGAATTCCATCATTACTGAAACCTTATCAAGATCTCTTAATGCATCATTTTTGTTGTTGTTGTTTGTCGATAGGAGAGCTTATTTTTGTACAAAGAATGGAACACTGATAGAACTTGATGCGGTTGAGCCTCCAAGGTAAAACTCAAGTTTTGGAGCAAACATTCATATTAAGTTCAATTCTAAGCAAATATTACTAATTTCGCTCCTGTTTTGCCATTTATATAGAACAGATGGACAAATCATGGCCAACCAGCTGGAGCAAATGTAGCAGCAATAGCTGATGTTGCTTCTACACGAGAAGTAGTATACACAATAAGGTTGGTTGGTGGTATATGTAAGTGTGTTGCTTGAAGCACGTTGACATGCTAATAAAACACTAAAAAAACGATGGAAAACAAAAGTTAAAATGTCAGAAACGGCCATGTTTGTCTTTAGTAAGTACCAAACATCATTCTTCACCTTTTTTGGATTCTAACAAGTTTAACTAACGATGTTGTGATGTAGTTCTGCCGGAGATCTTTATGAATATGATAGAAAATCAAAACCATCATGGAAGAGGCACATATGGCAAGAAAAAGCAGCACAAGTTGCATCCTTGATACCATCTAAGGGATGCATTTTAGTTGGATTAAGTGGTGATCATTCAGAATCTCTGTTTCTTTTAACCAAGGTACTGTGAAAAGTAGTATTTTATGAACTTGTCTACATTACCAGTATAGGAGTGAACGAGTTTTTTGACTCTTAAGTTGATAGTCCAATAAAAATTTTAGAAGAGAAAGTGATTGAAGGTGAAACTAGATTTTTATCAAAATTACAAATATAAAGTAAAACCATGGTATCAAATAGGAAACTTCTTAAAGATACAATGAATGTTTTAAGTCACTCGAGTCTTGATCATGTATAACTTGGCCCAGCTTAGAATTTCATCGTAGTGAGGCCATTTAAGAATTCATTCCTGACAATCTTGGACCCCATTTTTTCAAAATTTTTTAATAATTGTGCAGGAAGGCACTTTGGTGGAGAGAAGATTACACCAAAGGAAGTGGAAATGGGTAATCCATGGAAGTCCCCGACATCAAACTTTGTCGTCTATTACACCAGCCCTGCAAGATGATTCAAGTGAAACTTCCATTTCTTTATTCTTCACCACTTCAGCTGGATCTGTCTTTGAATATCAAATGCCAAAACAATTAGGTCAGTCATCTAATTATGCTTGAATCTATTTGACTTTATCCATGATTTGAATGCCTTGCTTTAATGATGATATGAATACCTTACTTTCACTGCATATGGCCAATGGACAGGTTATTATAGAACTAAAACTTTGTTTATGCATAATCTGAATACTATTCAGAGTGAGACGTTAAAAGATACAAGTTAGTACAAGAAAATGTAAAGGTTAAAGCTTGTATCTTCTTTTACTAAATACAACTATCATTCCCTGCCATCTTTTCTGATGTCTATTAAATGGTTTACCCACTCTCCAGTGACTTAGAAATGAAGAACCAAGATGGATGAATTAGTAGTCAACTCTTTTAACTTCTAAATGTTATTCATATGTAGTCAAATCCATATCATATAGTCTATCAAGAGCTTGAAAGATTATTGCAACTTATAGACACAAGCAGCAGAAAAGATCAACAAGATTATCTGCGGACTAGATTCTTCACTTTAACATCTGCAAACAGATTCTTGATGTTTCCTAAAACTTGTCTTTGCAGTATATATTCTCTCATTAAAAGCCATATATGCAGAATGAAGTGCCAAAAGAGGAATAAGAGATAAAACAATATCTAATTATTCAAGTATTAACTAAAAAGACTTTTAAATCTGAATACTACATTCTAGACATTGAATTCTCTCTTGAACACAGGAACTGTTCCAAATAATCAATTTCCAGGAACATGGGGAAGTCATCAGAACCCCTTACATGCTAAAGCAGCAAGAGGCATAAGTGGCTTACCATTACAAGCTGGGAGGATACTGTTTGCTCTAGATGATGATAGACTTGCAGAATTACATCTAGTAGGACTAGGCGGTGAAAATACAGGACCAGCTCTATCACAAAACTTTCGGAGGAAAGCATCAACTAAATATGTTTGGTCCATATTAGATGTGCCAGAAAGTGAAGGATGGAATGCAGAATATTGCACAGAAGAACGTGGACCCCGGAATTGTATGATAGGCACAAAAGATGAGTCAAAGGATTCAGGAATAAGTTCAGTAACAGGTAGAAGAAAGCAAAGCCAAGCACAGAATTATTACTTATCTTTAGGCAAAGGAGGTGACCTAGTTAAAGCTTCAGAAGATCACAATCTTCCAGATGACTGGATTAGTAGTAACTTCCGCCTGAGATTGATGTATGAAGGCAAAGCATTTTTCTTAATAACAACTGATGGTTTGGTTTTTGAATACATTTGTATTGAGGGTGTATGGGTATGGCTGAAGCATGATAGCTCTACAACTATGAATGGTATAATGGGGAACTATAATGGAAGTTTATTCATGGTTGATACATTTGGGAGTCTTCTTCTTAGAGAATTGAGTGATAACCAGATAACATGGAGAAATTGCACTTCCATGAGGAAAGGAAGAAATATTATTGGAGGTCAACCATGGGATAGATTACCGGGTATAGCAAGGAGGGTCACATCTGAAGATTCACTCTTCTTTGTGAGCAAAAATGGAAGATTACTGCAGTTCATGGTAGGTAAACACTAACACAATCACACAAATTAAAAGAAAAAGAAAATGACAATATACTTGCAAGCTATCTACTTTTTAATTGCTTAGAATACTTAAAGAGACAAGGCTTGATAAAAGATGCTAAAAGTGTGAATGATCAACTCTCTCCAAAAAAAAAACTTTAACTTGTTAGGTAAATACATGTAAAGAACCAATTCAACCCAAAATGTTAAGCTGTTGGGTGAGGCTATATTAATGATTTTATATATCTCAACATGCCCCCTCACAAGAGAGTCCACTGGTCTTGAAGGGTGGACAATGCACAGGTCCACCTACCTGAGCGAAGAAAGAAATTTCACTAGAAAGAAAGTGAGAAAGTGAGGGGCGGTGAGGATCGAACCCGGTACACCGAGGCTCTGATACCATGTAAAGAACAAATTCAACTCAAAAGCTTAAGCTGTTGGGTGAGGCTACATTAATGATTTTATATATCTCAACAATACATGAATGATTTTATGCCTCTTAACATAAAGATGATAATATTTTCTTAACTTCAGCAGTTTGTATCTTAAATATTGGTAATTCTGCCTTTCGAATCGTAAATCACTTGTCTTTCCTGTAGTTTATCACTTCACAATTCAAAGCAATTAGCATAAATGAAACAATTAAAGTATTCATTAATATATGTAATTGAAGAAAAGAAGTTTTATTTATCACATGTGCATGGTTATAGTATTTAAAATTTTCTGGGAGACATCATACAGCTACACAAAGTAGATAAGCCAAAATTGGAGAAGTTAACATTTTACATGTTCTACCCAGGTATTCATGAGGAAGTTTAAATGGAAGGATTGCAAAAGTCCTCCAAATGTTAAAGTTGCATGTATAGTTGATCAGGAATTGTTCAGGGAAAACATAGTCTTCATCATTGGAAGAAATGGTCGTCTATACCAGTATAACAAAGTGACTGATTTGTGGCATGAGCATTACCAGTCTCAGCATTTGATTCTATCACAGTTTCCTGGAACAATTATAAGACCATCACCACAATCACTCTCAGGCTCTCTCTTCATGCTTTCAACAGAAGGTGGCCTTGTTGAGTACCACTGGAACACATGGTACGGATGGAACTGGGTAGAACATGGAACACCCTATAAAGGTGTAACACTAGTTGGTTCACCTGGTCCTAGCTTTGAAGGTAATCAACTACTTTTGATTGGTTCAGATGGAAAAGTATACCTGAGATACATGGACAATAATGCATGGAAGTGGAAGGATTGTGGTTTCCCTTCTATGGGAAATAAAATGGTTGATGCACATAGACAAGGTCGATTGAATGGGGAGAAAGAAGCTTGGATTGATGAAGATTCTGTGACTGGCTTGAAGAAGGACCAGGAGAACTTTAAATGTGACCCAAAGGTATATACTAGTTTACATTGCTGGTTGATTATAAATGACATATAGTTGTATTTTGAAATATAAAATAATGACATAGAGTTGATTTTTATACAACACAGGTGGCATCTACACGACCAATTCAATTTTCTGAAGGTTCTGTCATATTTGAGCTCAGAGATAGCAGGGTAAGAACCTTTGTTCCCTGAGATTTCCAATTATCTGAAGGAAAATCATATTATAACACATAGTCCATTCCATAAAAAATAACAAGCAATCATTATTTAGAAGAAAAACTTCGAGCATAGTTGTGGTTAGGGTTGGCAAAACGGGCCAACTAGGATTGATTCGACCCAACCCGTTTGCAACCTGACAAAAAAACGAGCCGAGTTAGGGTTGACTCGAAAACAAAAAGGAGTCAGAAAACCCAACCCAACGTGATCCGGGTTAGGGCTGGCTTGAAAAAATGGGAAAAAAAATAGCCTTTGTCACACTCATCTTGTACATGTGGTGGCGAAACTAAGGAGATAGTTTTCATTTGATAAGATATTTATTGTAAAGGAAAACACTTGATATAAGATATTTAGTTCTTTAGTATAATTAAATTAACAAGTTACAAGACCAAAACACCAACTCAAAATACATCACAAAAGGTCCAATACTTCATTAAAAGGATAACCCGCGAGCTGACCCGTTTGGTCCGTGGATTGGCTCGGTTTTTTTCGAGCTAGATTGGATCGGGCTGGCTCGGGTTGTCAACTCATTTTTGCCAAACCATTACAACTCATTATATGCGGGTTACGAGCCATCCCAACGGGTTGACTCATTTTTGACATCCTTAGTTGTGGTCATGTAAATCTACTAAATATCAAATATTAATCTTCTACTTAATCTCAAGTGAGCTTAATTTTAATCAAGTTTTGACTGAATCCTTTGGCTGTCCAATGCTATGAACAATCAGGTGCATGCATTTTAAATTAACATTTGTCAATCTTCTTTAAATACTATAACTAGTTTGAAAACTTCTATCATACAATATAATTGGACTCTTAGAATTTCACCTCTTCTTAAATTGCCTTTTTCTAATTTAAACTCTACCAAAAGCAAAGATATACTGAAAAGGTATTGTGAACTTATCACAGTTGGCAGAAATACAACTTGTAGAGGAGAAAAAATGGGCTTGGTCAGAGATCATTGGCACTCCAGCCAGTTCATGCTTACAAAATTATTGGATTACAGTATCATCATCATAAGATTGTCTACAATCTTTAGATCAGCCAGAAGCACTTCATATACAGACAGACAGTGACATTATGCTGCTAACAATGAAGAAAGAAAAATCCAAGTTAGCAACTGCAGGCAGAACTACTTATCTCCTCCAGAAGCTGAAATAGGTAGTGTTCAAGTAAATGACCATATTTTATGTATGCACTCACACTCAACGTCTGTGGTTGTAGTATGTACACTTACAACTGCTCCAGGCTACCACTGTTCATGTGTAACAAAGATGTAAAATATTATAAGAACAACTTACAGCAATAAGTAGGAATTAGATTATGCCCCAAACAATTCCTTAATGTATAGATAATGTATTTAGGTATATCTATAAGTATTCTAAAGTAAAATAGACAAATTTCTTCAATTCCTCTGGACTCTTCTTTTGCTTCATTTTCTCTGACTCACAGTTGGTGTAAGTATTATAAAGCAAGGGAGTTAGTCAGCAATCGTCATGTCGCTTGAGATAATCCTCTTATCCAGGTGAGATAAATATGTGAGGTTTATAATTAAAAAAAAAAAAACTGACACAATATTTGATAAATGTATAACATAACATAGCTATTTCCAATAATATGAGACAAATATTTCTTATAAAGTAAGAGTTTATTATCTATCATTTATTATCTATCACAAAACTTTCGGAGGAAAGCATCAACTAAATATGTTTGGTCCATATTAGATGTGCCAGAAAGTGAAGGATGGAATGCAGAATATTGCACAGAAGAACGTGGACCCCGGAATTGTATGATAGGCACAAAAGATGAGTCAAAGGATTCAGGAATAAGTTCAGTAACAGGTAGAAGAAAGCAAAGCCAAGCACAGAATTATTACTTATCTTTAGGCAAAGGAGGTGACCTAGTTAAAGCTTCAGAAGATCACAATCTTCCAGATGACTGGATTAGTAGTAACTTCCGCCTGAGATTGATGTATGAAGGCAAAGCATTTTTCTTAATAACAACTGATGGTTTGGTTTTTGAATACATTTGTATTGAGGGTGTATGGGTATGGCTGAAGCATGATAGCTCTACAACTATGAATGGTATAATGGGGAACTATAATGGAAGTTTATTCATGGTTGATACATTTGGGAGTCTTCTTCTTAGAGAATTGAGTGATAACCAGATAACATGGAGAAATTGCACTTCCATGAGGAAAGGAAGAAATATTATTGGAGGTCAACCATGGGATAGATTACCGGGTATAGCAAGGAGGGTCACATCTGAAGATTCACTCTTCTTTGTGAGCAAAAATGGAAGATTACTGCAGTTCATGGTAGGTAAACACTAACACAATCACACAAATTAAAAGAAAAAGAAAATGACAATATACTTGCAAGCTATCTACTTTTTAATTGCTTAGAATACTTAAAGAGACAAGGCTTGATAAAAGATGCTAAAAGTGTGAATGATCAACTCTCTCCAAAAAAAAAACTTTAACTTGTTAGGTAAATACATGTAAAGAACCAATTCAACCCAAAATGTTAAGCTGTTGGGTGAGGCTATATTAATGATTTTATATATCTCAACATGCCCCCTCACAAGAGAGTCCACTGGTCTTGAAGGGTGGACAATGCACAGGTCCACCTACCTGAGCGAAGAAAGAAATTTCACTAGAAAGAAAGTGAGAAAGTGAGGGGCGGTGAGGATCGAACCCGGTACACCGAGGCTCTGATACCATGTAAAGAACAAATTCAACTCAAAAGCTTAAGCTGTTGGGTGAGGCTACATTAATGATTTTATATATCTCAACAATACATGAATGATTTTATGCCTCTTAACATAAAGATGATAATATTTTCTTAACTTCAGCAGTTTGTATCTTAAATATTGGTAATTCTGCCTTTCGAATCGTAAATCACTTGTCTTTCCTGTAGTTTATCACTTCACAATTCAAAGCAATTAGCATAAATGAAACAATTAAAGTATTCATTAATATATGTAATTGAAGAAAAGAAGTTTTATTTATCACATGTGCATGGTTATAGTATTTAAAATTTTCTGGGAGACATCATACAGCTACACAAAGTAGATAAGCCAAAATTGGAGAAGTTAACATTTTACATGTTCTACCCAGGTATTCATGAGGAAGTTTAAATGGAAGGATTGCAAAAGTCCTCCAAATGTTAAAGTTGCATGTATAGTTGATCAGGAATTGTTCAGGGAAAACATAGTCTTCATCATTGGAAGAAATGGTCGTCTATACCAGTATAACAAAGTGACTGATTTGTGGCATGAGCATTACCAGTCTCAGCATTTGATTCTATCACAGTTTCCTGGAACAATTATAAGACCATCACCACAATCACTCTCAGGCTCTCTCTTCATGCTTTCAACAGAAGGTGGCCTTGTTGAGTACCACTGGAACACATGGTACGGATGGAACTGGGTAGAACATGGAACACCCTATAAAGGTGTAACACTAGTTGGTTCACCTGGTCCTAGCTTTGAAGGTAATCAACTACTTTTGATTGGTTCAGATGGAAAAGTATACCTGAGATACATGGACAATAATGCATGGAAGTGGAAGGATTGTGGTTTCCCTTCTATGGGAAATAAAATGGTTGATGCACATAGACAAGGTCGATTGAATGGGGAGAAAGAAGCTTGGATTGATGAAGATTCTGTGACTGGCTTGAAGAAGGACCAGGAGAACTTTAAATGTGACCCAAAGGTATATACTAGTTTACATTGCTGGTTGATTATAAATGACATATAGTTGTATTTTGAAATATAAAATAATGACATAGAGTTGATTTTTATACAACACAGGTGGCATCTACACGACCAATTCAATTTTCTGAAGGTTCTGTCATATTTGAGCTCAGAGATAGCAGGGTAAGAACCTTTGTTCCCTGAGATTTCCAATTATCTGAAGGAAAATCATATTATAACACATAGTCCATTCCATAAAAAATAACAAGCAATCATTATTTAGAAGAAAAACTTCGAGCATAGTTGTGGTTAGGGTTGGCAAAACGGGCCAACTAGGATTGATTCGACCCAACCCGTTTGCAACCTGACAAAAAAACGAGCCGAGTTAGGGTTGACTCGAAAACAAAAAGGAGTCAGAAAACCCAACCCAACGTGATCCGGGTTAGGGCTGGCTTGAAAAAATGGGAAAAAAAATAGCCTTTGTCACACTCATCTTGTACATGTGGTGGCGAAACTAAGGAGATAGTTTTCATTTGATATAAGATATTTATTGTAAAGGAAAACACTTGATATAAGATATTTAGTTCTTTAGTATAATTAAATTAACAAGTTACAAGACCAAAACACCAACTCAAAATACATCACAAAAGGTCCAATACTTCATTAAAAGGATAACCCGCGAGCTGACCCGTTTGGTCCGTGGATTGGCTCGGTTTTTTTCGAGCTAGATTGGATCGGGCTGGCTCGGGTTGTCAACTCATTTTTGCCAAACCATTACAACTCATTATATGCGGGTTACGAGCCATCCCAACGGGTTGACTCATTTTTGACATCCTTAGTTGTGGTCATGTAAATCTACTAAATATCAAATATTAATCTTCTACTTAATCTCAAGTGAGCTTAATTTTAATCAAGTTTTGACTGAATCCTTTGGCTGTCCAATGCTATGAACAATCAGGTGCATGCATTTTAAATTAACATTTGTCAATCTTCTTTAAATACTATAACTAGTTTGAAAACTTCTATCATACAATATAATTGGACTCTTAGAATTTCACCTCTTCTTAAATTGCCTTTTTCTAATTTAAACTCTACCAAAAGCAAAGATATACTGAAAAGGTATTGTGAACTTATCACAGTTGGCAGAAATACAACTTGTAGAGGAGAAAAAATGGGCTTGGTCAGAGATCATTGGCACTCCAGCCAGTTCATGCTTACAAAATTATTGGATTACAGTATCATCATCATAAGATTGTCTACAATCTTTAGATCAGCCAGAAGCACTTCATATACAGACAGACAGTGACATTATGCTGCTAACAATGAAGAAAGAAAAATCCAAGTTAGCAACTGCAGGCAGAACTACTTATCTCCTCCAGAAGCTGAAATAGGTAGTGTTCAAGTAAATGACCATATTTTATGTATGCACTCACACTCAACGTCTGTGGTTGTAGTATGTACACTTACAACTGCTCCAGGCTACCACTGTTCATGTGTAACAAAGATGTAAAATATTATAAGAACAACTTACAGCAATAAAGTAGGAATTAGATTATGCCCCAAACAATTCCTTAATGTATAGATAATGTATTTAGGTATATCTATAAGTATTCTAAAGTAAAATAGACAAATTTCTTCAATTCCTCTGGACTCTTCTTTTGCTTCATTTTCTCTGACTCACAGTTGGTGTAAGTATTATAAAGCAAGGGAGTTAGTCAGCAATCGTCATGTCGCTTGAGATAATCCTCTTATCCAGGTGAGATAAATATGTGAGGTTTATAATTAAAAAAAAAAAAACTGACACAATATTTGATAAATGTATAACATAACATAGCTATTTCCAATAATATGAGACAAATATTTCTTATAAAGTAAGAGTTTATTATCTATCATTTATTATCTATCACAAAACTTTCGGAGGAAAGCATCAACTAAATATGTTTGGTCCATATTAGATGTGCCAGAAAGTGAAGGATGGAATGCAGAATATTGCACAGAAGAACGTGGACCCCGGAATTGTATGATAGGCACAAAAGATGAGTCAAAGGATTCAGGAATAAGTTCAGTAACAGGTAGAAGAAAGCAAAGCCAAGCACAGAATTATTACTTATCTTTAGGCAAAGGAGGTGACCTAGTTAAAGCTTCAGAAGATCACAATCTTCCAGATGACTGGATTAGTAGTAACTTCCGCCTGAGATTGATGTATGAAGGCAAAGCATTTTTCTTAATAACAACTGATGGTTTGGTTTTTGAATACATTTGTATTGAGGGTGTATGGGTATGGCTGAAGCATGATAGCTCTACAACTATGAATGGTATAATGGGGAACTATAATGGAAGTTTATTCATGGTTGATACATTTGGGAGTCTTCTTCTTAGAGAATTGAGTGATAACCAGATAACATGGAGAAATTGCACTTCCATGAGGAAAGGAAGAAATATTATTGGAGGTCAACCATGGGATAGATTACCGGGTATAGCAAGGAGGGTCACATCTGAAGATTCACTCTTCTTTGTGAGCAAAAATGGAAGATTACTGCAGTTCATGGTAGGTAAACACTAACACAATCACACAAATTAAAAGAAAAAGAAAATGACAATATACTTGCAAGCTATCTACTTTTTAATTGCTTAGAATACTTAAAGAGACAAGGCTTGATAAAAGATGCTAAAAGTGTGAATGATCAACTCTCTCCAAAAAAAAAACTTTAACTTGTTAGGTAAATACATGTAAAGAACCAATTCAACCCAAAATGTTAAGCTGTTGGGTGAGGCTATATTAATGATTTTATATATCTCAACATGCCCCCTCACAAGAGAGTCCACTGGTCTTGAAGGGTGGACAATGCACAGGTCCACCTACCTGAGCGAAGAAAGAAATTTCACTAGAAAGAAAGTGAGAAAGTGAGGGGCGGTGAGGATCGAACCCGGTACACCGAGGCTCTGATACCATGTAAAGAACAAATTCAACTCAAAAGCTTAAGCTGTTGGGTGAGGCTACATTAATGATTTTATATATCTCAACAATACATGAATGATTTTATGCCTCTTAACATAAAGATGATAATATTTTCTTAACTTCAGCAGTTTGTATCTTAAATATTGGTAATTCTGCCTTTCGAATCGTAAATCACTTGTCTTTCCTGTAGTTTATCACTTCACAATTCAAAGCAATTAGCATAAATGAAACAATTAAAGTATTCATTAATATATGTAATTGAAGAAAAGAAGTTTTATTTATCACATGTGCATGGTTATAGTATTTAAAATTTTCTGGGAGACATCATACAGCTACACAAAGTAGATAAGCCAAAATTGGAGAAGTTAACATTTTACATGTTCTACCCAGGTATTCATGAGGAAGTTTAAATGGAAGGATTGCAAAAGTCCTCCAAATGTTAAAGTTGCATGTATAGTTGATCAGGAATTGTTCAGGGAAAACATAGTCTTCATCATTGGAAGAAATGGTCGTCTATACCAGTATAACAAAGTGACTGATTTGTGGCATGAGCATTACCAGTCTCAGCATTTGATTCTATCACAGTTTCCTGGAACAATTATAAGACCATCACCACAATCACTCTCAGGCTCTCTCTTCATGCTTTCAACAGAAGGTGGCCTTGTTGAGTACCACTGGAACACATGGTACGGATGGAACTGGGTAGAACATGGAACACCCTATAAAGGTGTAACACTAGTTGGTTCACCTGGTCCTAGCTTTGAAGGTAATCAACTACTTTTGATTGGTTCAGATGGAAAAGTATACCTGAGATACATGGACAATAATGCATGGAAGTGGAAGGATTGTGGTTTCCCTTCTATGGGAAATAAAATGGTTGATGCACATAGACAAGGTCGATTGAATGGGGAGAAAGAAGCTTGGATTGATGAAGATTCTGTGACTGGCTTGAAGAAGGACCAGGAGAACTTTAAATGTGACCCAAAGGTATATACTAGTTTACATTGCTGGTTGATTATAAATGACATATAGTTGTATTTTGAAATATAAAATAATGACATAGAGTTGATTTTTATACAACACAGGTGGCATCTACACGACCAATTCAATTTTCTGAAGGTTCTGTCATATTTGAGCTCAGAGATAGCAGGGTAAGAACCTTTGTTCCCTGAGATTTCCAATTATCTGAAGGAAAATCATATTATAACACATAGTCCATTCCATAAAAAATAACAAGCAATCATTATTTAGAAGAAAAACTTCGAGCATAGTTGTGGTTAGGGTTGGCAAAACGGGCCAACTAGGATTGATTCGACCCAACCCGTTTGCAACCTGACAAAAAAACGAGCCGAGTTAGGGTTGACTCGAAAACAAAAAGGAGTCAGAAAACCCAACCCAACGTGATCCGGGTTAGGGCTGGCTTGAAAAAATGGGAAAAAAAATAGCCTTTGTCACACTCATCTTGTACATGTGGTGGCGAAACTAAGGAGATAGTTTTCATTTGATATAAGATATTTATTGTAAAGGAAAACACTTGATATAAGATATTTAGTTCTTTAGTATAATTAAATTAACAAGTTACAAGACCAAAACACCAACTCAAAATACATCACAAAAGGTCCAATACTTCATTAAAAGGATAACCCGCGAGCTGACCCGTTTGGTCCGTGGATTGGCTCGGTTTTTTTCGAGCTAGATTGGATCGGGCTGGCTCGGGTTGTCAACTCATTTTTGCCAAACCATTACAACTCATTATATGCGGGTTACGAGCCATCCCAACGGGTTGACTCATTTTTGACATCCTTAGTTGTGGTCATGTAAATCTACTAAATATCAAATATTAATCTTCTACTTAATCTCAAGTGAGCTTAATTTTAATCAAGTTTTGACTGAATCCTTTGGCTGTCCAATGCTATGAACAATCAGGTGCATGCATTTTAAATTAACATTTGTCAATCTTCTTTAAATACTATAACTAGTTTGAAAACTTCTATCATACAATATAATTGGACTCTTAGAATTTCACCTCTTCTTAAATTGCCTTTTTCTAATTTAAACTCTACCAAAAGCAAAGATATACTGAAAAGGTATTGTGAACTTATCACAGTTGGCAGAAATACAACTTGTAGAGGAGAAAAAATGGGCTTGGTCAGAGATCATTGGCACTCCAGCCAGTTCATGCTTACAAAATTATTGGATTACAGTATCATCATCATAAGATTGTCTACAATCTTTAGATCAGCCAGAAGCACTTCATATACAGACAGACAGTGACATTATGCTGCTAACAATGAAGAAAGAAAAATCCAAGTTAGCAACTGCAGGCAGAACTACTTATCTCCTCCAGAAGCTGAAATAGGTAGTGTTCAAGTAAATGACCATATTTTATGTATGCACTCACACTCAACGTCTGTGGTTGTAGTATGTACACTTACAACTGCTCCAGGCTACCACTGTTCATGTGTAACAAAGATGTAAAATATTATAAGAACAACTTACAGCAATAAAGTAGGAATTAGATTATGCCCCAAACAATTCCTTAATGTATAGATAATGTATTTAGGTATATCTATAAGTATTCTAAAGTAAAATAGACAAATTTCTTCAATTCCTCTGGACTCTTCTTTTGCTTCATTTTCTCTGACTCACAGTTGGTGTAAGTATTATAAAGCAAGGGAGTTAGTCAGCAATCGTCATGTCGCTTGAGATAATCCTCTTATCCAGGTGAGATAAATATGTGAGGTTTATAATTAAAAAAAAAAAAACTGACACAATATTTGATAAATGTATAACATAACATAGCTATTTCCAATAATATGAGACAAATATTTCTTATAAAGTAAGAGTTTATTATCTATCATTTAACATGACCACAAAAAATTTTCTACACACATAATAGTTTGTGGGGCCCACAGCAAAAAAAAAAAAAAAAACTTCGGCACGCAAAACGAATCTCTATAACATAACACAATCATTTTTCTTACAACATAACTCTTATAAAACCCATAAAGTAAAATAGAGACTTTTTAAGAGAACCTCATCGCTAAAATATTAAGCATTTGTATAAATAATCTTGAAATGAAAAAAATCTCTCTTTTAATTAAATAATACTTATTAGTATATGAAGGAAAATTTCTTACTTAGTATATTGAAATCAAATATTTTTAAAAAATAACCATTTCAAAATCAATCAGAATTCTCACTCTGGAAGACTTTTTTTAAAAAAATCTAATTTTATATATATTGCACTTTAAAGTTAATCTAAATTAATGTCTTAATTTTAAAACGCATTATTTATTTTTGAAATATTAACTTTTTCATTCAGAGTACCTCTTTTAGTTTAACTTAAATTTCAAAAAGATTGCATTTTAGATAATTATGGGTAGTTTTACAAAACTGCATTATTTTGTATAAAATATTAAAAAACATTGAAATTGTCTGGTTAAAAAGATTAATATTTATCATATTTTATGTTATACGAGATAATTTTATCTTTCATATATATAACAATGCATGAGGTCATGTGAAAAGAAAAAATAAATAAATAAAATATAAGTCCTACATATGGGAAAAAGATAATTTATCCCTTATAACATTAAAAACACTAATTGCACGAGGAGAGAGCATGAGTTCGATTCTCTCAATATCAATTTTGGGAAAAATTTATAGTATTAATCTCGGAACCCACCCTAAATCGGACTAGTCATGGAGCGATGAACTGATTGTAATATCTCAAAAAAAAATATTTAATGGTTTCATGAAACGACGACGGTTCGACTCTGGTTCTGTAAAGTGTAAACCTAATCCTAAGCTTACTAGCTTACTATCCCTCCCCATTACCCTGTCACTCATCTCGAGCTCCGTTCGCCGCCACTTCACACCTCAGATCGCCGCCGTCAACTCTCCGGCGACTCTCTTATTTCGCAATGTGTGAATGAATGAATGATAGCTTCAATAAATCAAGTACACTCACTGTGTTCATCACCTCACCATGCTTTCTCGTTTAATTCCCAAACCCTATCATTTCCGTCGCTTCTTCTCTCTTCCTTCGAAGCATTCCCATTTCCCCAATCCACATTTCAATCCCTATTTCACCATCATTCCCAAATTCTTTTCCTCCACCAATAGCAGCGACGACAACAACAACAACAACAACAACAGAAATATCAAGGAACCGTTTTCTTCCGGTGCCTTAAGGGGGTTTCTGGATAGCGAAGAAAAGTTCGAATCTTTCATCGCCGACGACAGTGGAGGCCTTGCCGGATTGAACGAGGAGGAAGGAGAAGGTACTGGGGCCAAAGCAGGGAACAAGGAGGAACAGTGGTGGTTGCAAGAGAAGAGTCTTGATAATGAAGATGAGGATGATTTATTTGAAGGTGTTGGCAATGAAACTGGAGACAATGATGGTGGTTTTGGTGGCCAATTTGGGGTGATAGGAGAGGGCCTTAAACCTTGGAGCTTGAAGGAGAAGGAGGAGGAGGACAAAGATGATGTGTTTAATTTTCAAGAGGATGTGAGTCAGGTGGGGGAGTTTAGTGTTGTGGACAGTGTAGGCTTGAGAAGTGAAACAAATGAGGAGGATGTTGTGAAGCTTGAGAAGGAAGAGAAAGCTCTGACTGATATACTCAAAGGTTAGGCTTGGGGCCTTCTTCTGTGAATGACTATATAATTCTCATGATATTTGTTGGTTGTTATATTTAAATACCGTTGTAATTGTCAATTTGCCATGCTTGATCTATATATTGGTTAAGCAATGGGGTATTATGTAATTTGAATGTGAAAGTTGAATTCACATTTGATGGGTGTGGAAATCATGGATGAGATTGAAAAAAGGTGGTGTGTTTTCATTACATGAAACTGAATTTTGATCATTAAAGGCATCTTTGTCAAAGAAATTTCAGATGATAATTGACGTTATATGTTGAACTGATATCATTATATATCACTGGTTTCTTTTGATTCACTGTTTATGGCATGTTGAGTATGTATGTTTTATTTTAAATTACCATATTTTGGGCTCTAATTTTTCTTGTAATGTGCCTTGTGGTGATAGTTATTTTTTGTTACTTTAGAGTATTGACATATATAAAGGCAAGTGATATCTCTTTCCTATTGTGATTACAGGTCCAAATCGTGCTTTTGGTGATTTGATTGCTGCTTCTGGAATCACCGATGACATGCTTGACAGTTTGATTGCATTGAAAGACTTTGAAGGGGTTGATGGGTTGCCCCCCCTTAGTGTAATAGAAGACATACGGTATGAGAAGAATACTACAAAATCCACTAGAGCTGAAATGGAGCGTCTAAAGCAAGAGGAAGCTGCCAAAGCAAGAGTGAGACAAGTAGATGAAAAAGGACGTGCTTATGGAACAGGAAGAAGAAAATGCAGTGTAGCCCGTGTCTGGGTTCAACCTGGTAATGGTAAATTTGTAGTTAATGATAAAGAATATGATGTCTATTTCCCTGTGCTTGATCATCGCGCTGCTCTCCTTCGACCTTTCTCTGAGACAAAGACATTGGGGCTCTGGGATGTCAATTGTACTGTGAAAGGAGGTGGTGTTTCAGGTGAGGTCAATGACTTTTAGTTTGTTTTTATATTTGATATCCCATTATTAGCATCATTTTCTTTCATTATACGATAATCTTATTTCTTTTTACTGAAGAGTGCCTACTTTTGGTTTGCAAATGCTGGGGAGAGTTTGTGTTTTGGGTTTGTGGAACATCTTGTGTCCTGTCTGCCTGTAACATATTGTGCATACCACTCTTGAAGCATATTTCATGCATGATATGGTATAATATTGAATGCATGTTTGACGCATAAAACTAGTGTTTTGACATTGGCAACTTCGTATTTTATTTTTTACTAGAGAAGACTTGTCTATACCTATATGTGTAGATATACTGGTTGAAATAACTCCTGCCGAACATATGGCAGAAAAAAAATGTGCCAACTTTTTGAGTCATTGTCATATCGGGCAACTGGAAAAAGAATCCCATGTATTTGTTAAAGACTGCAGAGAGTGAAGTTGAAACCCAGAAGCATGGAATTAGTGAGAATGAGAAGCATTTATGTGTGGTGTATGGTGTCTTTTACTCTATTAAAGATGAAAAAGCAGAGGATAGAGAGAGTTGGGTTAGAATTAGAGGCTAGAGGCTGGGGAAAGGGCAGTGATGGATCACTGCTTATTGTGCATGATTGTGTTATCAAACCCAACATGTTTTATATTTTTTGCTTTTAAAACTTATTTTAGAAATAAATGATCCAAACACATCTTTTAGCCTTTTTTTGTTTTTGAAAATTGTTTTAATTGTGTTACAAAACAGTTTTCAGGAATTATTAAAAAAAAAATAAAAAATCAAGCCTGTACTGTTCTAGTCGAACTTGAATTGGCCTTTGCAATATCATTCATGAATGATGAGCTTTCTTTGATTTGGATCAGGAAAATATCTGTGTCGATGCAAGATATAAAGAAAAAAATATTTATGAACTTAATTTTTCTCTCCTTTTGTACATGCTACATCCTTCACTATTTTGAAAACTACCCAACTCTATAAACTTGTTATATTTTCATTTCCCTTTTTTTATCCTGGTTTTATTTAGGGGAAAATGCATTCTACCTCTTTAATTTTGACCCTCTAGCTAATCCCAGCTTCAAGTTTTAATTTTGACAATTAAATGCTTAAACTTTGATATATCTCCCGATATTCACTTCTATTCAACTTCCATTAATAATCATATGCTGAGGAAAGTGTGCATAATGGAAGTTGGACAGAAATGCATAATGGGTAACTTACTAATTTGTCAATGTTCAATTGGTTAATTGTCATTCATTTTTCCCTTTATATTATATATATCAATAAAACCTGTTTCGTGACAACAGGACAAGTTGGAGCTATACGATTGGGAATCAGCAGGGCTTTGCAAAACTGGGAACCAGATTTGCGACCTGCTCTTAGAAGTGGTACATAGCTTTTTTCCTTTCTTCTCTCTTGATTTATTTTGCTACACTTCTTTTTTCCGCTATATTTTGAAACAAAAATGCCTTTGATACCATAAGCAAAGACATAGTAACCAAAGCAAAGACGTGTGTTACTATGTCTTTTCTTTTTTACTATTTCTTTGCTTTGGTTATTCATGTTTTTTACTATGTATAAGTGTTGCATTATGATGATTTATTAAGCTGATTTTTGTTGAATCTTGAGCAGCTGGTTTCCTGACAAGGGACTCACGAGTGGTAGAAAGGAAAAAGCCAGGAAAAGCCAAAGCAAGAAAAAGTTTCCAATGGGTCAAGCGTTAATACTAGGACCATCTTTCACTGGATGGCGATTTTTGTATCGAATATTTCCTTAATAACTTCTTGAAATTTGTTCACCTTGTACTGCATCATCACCTTTGATGTAATCAACGATTGAATTTCAATGACACAAAAAGAAAATTTTGTTCACCTGGGATTGTGATATGTTATGATACAGTTACTATTTGGAGAGAACTCCTGATTGCTATATTTTTTTTTCTCATCTTTACTACATAATGAATGTTATATTATGAAAACCTGTGTGCAAAAACATGTTATATCCATTCTGCTTAATTTTTTGGCATTTAATATTCTTTTTTTTGGGTATTGTTGTGTACTGTTCAAATATGGAATAATAGAATGTTTAGTAACAACTTCTAGAGCAATAACTTTTTTTTTTTCAAAAGCTGTTGGAAGATGTCAGTTTTTATTTTTAATTTTTAAATAAATTAATTCAAATTCGCAGATGATATAATTATTATTTTTTTGTCAGGAGCAATATAAATATTGGTCATGGAATTTGCATTGCGTGTATCATGGTAAATGGCGAACAGCTTATATAATTAGAGTGAAACCCAATCTGAAAAGATAAATGAACTCGACACTAAAGCAATATCAACCTGATTTCTTAATATTTAAAAATGACAACCGAATGAATTGACGTTCTTATACGTTAATTCTAAAAAATATTAGATTTTGATATTTTAAGCTATGTTTTGATATTAAATAATATTTTTAATTTATGTAATGTATATTATATTTAATATTTAATAATTTAATAAAAAATAAAACTAAATTTATAATATTCATCAATTTTGTAAAGAAATATAAAATATCACAAATATTTATATTAAACTCAATAAAACAGTAATTATAATCCAACGAATCTCATAGTTGGAATTAAGGGTGTGCATGACAACCATTCTGTTCAGTGACACTGTGTCTGAAAAGAAACAATTATTTTCTATTTCTGTGCCTTGGAATAATTTTAAAGAAAAAAAAATATTTGATAACATGTTCTATTTTTATTCTGAGAATGATAATTGCGTTTGATAACACAACAAATAATATAATAAAAAATAATTCTTATTAAGCATGATTTTTTACGGATATTATTTTCTTTTTCATATGGTGTGGTGGTGGCGGCGACGATAATGGTGGAGGTGTGGTGGGGGTAATGGTGGTGGCAGTGGTTGTGACGATGGTGGCAGTAATGGTGGTGGCGTGGTGATTGCGACGACGGTGGTGGTGGTGGTTGGTGATGACGACGGAGGTGGTAGCGATGGCGTGGAGATGGTAGTGGTGATGACATGGTGGTGATGGTGATGACAGTGGCTGCGGCGATGGTAGTGGTGGTTGGTGATGATGGTGGAAGTAGTGGCATCGTGATGGTGGTGGTGGTGATGACGGTGACATGGTAGTGGTGATGACAATGACGTGATGGTGGCGATGGGTGGAGGTGGTGGCATCGTCGTGGTGGTGGTGACGACGACAATACGGCGGTGGCCGTGGTCGTGTGGGGATGATGATAGTGGTGATAATGATGATAGTGATGGAGAGTGATTAAGAGAAATAAGTGTTTCTTATTTTGTGCCAAAAAAAAAACAGAATTTTTTTTTTTTGTTTTTTGTTTCCAGCACAAAAATTAAACTGGTTCATCCCGAGAACAAAAAAATAAATCGATTTTACCAAATGAATTTTCTATCCATTTCTATTCCTGGGAACAAAAATTAAAAAAAAAAAAAATTGATTCCGGAAATGTTGTCATGCACACCCTACAAATGCAACCCAACGCAATCTTTGAACTTTTTTTTGAGTCCTGCAACGTGTGTTGGATACGACACGTCAAGTTTTTTGAAATACCAATTAACTATACACGATAAAAGTAAGTATACTAAATACTAATACACATTCCATTAATAAAATAAAAGATAAAAAATAGGATATTCTACCTATTTTTTTAGACCATCGTGCCAATAAGGTTTGAACCTGTAACCAATGCAAATTTCTCACCACTAGATGAATTTTAGTTGCTTAAAAATATCATTTATCTAACTATATTTATTTATCTCATTTAAGGGATTAGTGTTTTTTATATTATAGCAAATAATTTTATTTTTTATGTATACATAAAAATGTATGGGCCATATATATATTTTTTTTTTTCTCTTTACATGGCCTTATACATTTTTATATGTGTAGGAGATAATTTCAGATCATATTAAAATTTAACTTGAACTTATCATTAATTTTTATGTCTATCTTTGTGTTTAATTCCTAAACCTTGCAACACATAAATTCCTTCGTTTAATTATCTTTTGTAATAGCATATTATACCTATTTTTTTATGTGTATTCTATTTACTTATCAATTGAACGTTACTGAAAATGAATAGGTAAGGTAAGAGACTAATAAAATGGAATTATGAGAGGTACTGTTAGAGGATTTCATGCAGTTTTTTATTTTTTATTTTTGTTAACAGTGAGTGAAGCAAAACCCTGGTCCTAACAAAGCTAAGAGCTCTGTGCTTGGCGGCGAGTGTAGTGTGTTAGAGTACCAAATCGAATCAATTACACAGTTGAGGTTCAGAGGGTTAGTGGTAGCCATGGATGATGTTTGCGAAGGGAAAGAGTTCACGTTCCCGAAGCAGGAAGAGAAGATTCTAGAATTGTGGTCTGAAATCAACGCATTCCAGACACAGTTATCTCGCACTGAGGACAAACCTGAGTACATCTTCTACGATGGACCACCATTCGCCACCGGTCTTCCTCACTACGGTCACATACTCGCCGGCACCATCAAGGACATCGTCACTCGCTACCACTCCATGACCGGCCACCACGTCACGCGCCGCTTCGGCTGGGACTGCCACGGCCTCCCCGTCGAGAACGAGATCGACAAGAAGCTCGGAATCAAGAAGCGTGAGGACGTTCTCAAAATGGGAATCGATAAGTACAACGAAGAGTGCAGGAGCATCGTCACGCGCTACGTGAATGAGTGGGAGACTGTTATCACGCGCACTGGCCGATGGATCGACTTCAAAAACGATTACAAAACCATGGACATCAAGTTTATGGAGTCCGTTTGGTGGGTCTTTGCTCAGCTTTATGCTAAAAACCTTGTCTACAAAGGTTTTAAGGTACTAATTAATTTTTTCTATTATTATTTATTTAATTTCTCATCAATAATCTATGTTACAATAGCTGCATTTTGTTATTGTTGTAGGTCATGCCTTATAGCACAGGGTGCAAAACCCCGCTCTCTAATTTTGAGGCAGGTCAGAATTATAAGGTTAGTGATTTGACACTTTTAATAAGCCTTCCTTTATTTTTAAATTATGTTTGATTTTAAGTTGGCAATTGGAATGGATTTACTTTGCTTGTTAGTGTTGTTGTAATTTTGTTATTGTCATTAGTCTCTGCTGCCTAGAAGGCTACAAGTGATACGGTTTTAATATGCTTCGTTTTGATGTGACCAAAATGCTGTGATTTCTATTGTATTAATTGGATAACTTGTATTTGTTGCAATTCTATTTAATATGAAATTCTATGTTGGCACAGGATGTGTCTGATCCTGAAGTACTGGTGACTTTTCCAGTCTTGGGCGATCCACACGGTGCATCTTTTGTAGCTTGGACAACAACTCCATGGACTCTTCCTAGTAATCTTGCACTTTGCGTCAATGCTAATTTTACCTATGTGAAGGTTGGTTAAGTTTGTTGCAGTAATAGAATACGAGGAACTTTCAAGCTTTTTCTAGTTAAAATAGAACATGAATTTGTTCGTACATAAAGAAACAAAGTAGAAGATAAGTTGTTGGCTTGACAAGTTCAAATTTTGGTTGGTAAGTTATGCCGTAACTGGAGAGTGGAGACTAGAATTATGATTTTACCTCTAATTATTTCCCACTCCTCTTTATGACCGGCAGGAAAATTTTGATTGCAGTATTTCTGTATGCTTTGAATGATTAGCTGTTCTTTCCCTGTAATAAAATTCTTTTCATGTAACAAAAATATCTTGAATGGTGAAGAACTTTCACATAAAAGGGTAAGGAAAAAGGTGTCAGAAAGAAATGCGCAAATGATTACAGTGGGTAGTGCAATTTGCTTATTTATATTTATTGTGGAAAGGGGTAGAAACGAAATACATTTGGATTGAATACTTGATAAGACATCCTTTTCTTTTTTTTTGTGTGCACAGAGAGATAAAGTATTCTATATATACATATATTTGCAAACGCCCTTCATTTTTTTTACTCCTCTTCTTTTCCACATTTCCTTGTTACTTCAAATCTAATTTTTGGAGCCAATGAAATCAGGTTCGTAATAGGTATTCGGGTAAAGTTTATGTTGTTGCTGAATCTCGTCTGTCTGCACTCCATAACCCTAAGGAGAAACCCAAAGAAGCTGTTGCTAATAGTCCAAATGACGTTCCTAAAAATACAAATGCGAAGATCAAGGGATCTTCAAGTGGAAAGACGGAAAATGTGTTGGACTCTTTTGAAGTGCTGGAGAAAGTCTCAGGGGCTTCATTAGTGGGAATGAAGTCAGCAGTTTCTCCTTTTACTACATTCATCTTTTATATTAATTTTACTCTATGAATAATTCACTATGTTCTGTTATGAGACTCATCTAATGACATTTTGGATATGGGATTTTATTGAGTATTGAAAATCAAAGGGTACATGTTCTGCAGGTATGAACCATTATTTGATTACTTTGTGGAGTTATCCAATACGGCTTTTAGAGTTGTTTCCGACAATTACGTTACTGATGATAGTGGTACTGGCATTGTCCATTGTGCCCCTGCTTTTGGTGAAGATGATTTCCGTGTTTGCATTGATAATCAAATTCTTAGCAAGGTGTGTGCTTTTAAGAACTTACAATCATGTAATTATTGGGTTTAATTTTTTTCTCCTGAAACGTTTCAGTCAGAGAGGCATAATTATTTGTAGTTGAACTTATATTCTAAATCATTGCCTTGCATGCCTTCATATGTTTTTCCTCTTTCATTAGTGATGATTGATTTATGTTGATGCATTCTTTACTTATCTCGTGTCAATTTTTCATATCATGGTGCTACATCTATTATGATGACTTTCCAATTTGCTACTTAATTGTACCAGCAACTTTGGTGCTAGTATACTACTGCTGAAATTTTCCACTTCTGCTTATTTATTTGTCTA